TAAACAGCTCTTAAACAACTCTTAATCTCTTGTTAAAACTTATTGTAAAAACAAACTCTTGGATATTGAGAGAGAACAACAATGGGGTATTTATACCCACTCAAAATATCAGCCAAAACCAACTAGAAATGACCAAAATAGCCCCAGAGAATCAAATCAGAATATAGCCGTTGAGAAAGTAATTATGAGTTCGGCGGTCGACCGTGGAAATCTTGCGGTCGATCGCGAAGCATAAAAACACTGAAAGCCAAATTTAAAAGCTGGCGGTCGACCGCGACGGTTGACTACAAAAGTGTCTGGATGAGCCACGGTCGACCGTCACGGTCGACCGTGAACAACAAATAGCCATAGTAATCAAATTTACTGCTGGCGGTTGACCGTGTCCCTCGACCGCAAACTGATACTTGTCAATTGATAGGTTTTTGGGCTGATTTTGAAATTACGTTAAAAATACCAAATCAATTCCAAAAATAGTAAAACTTTGGGGAAAGTTTCTAAATGATAAAATAAACATGTTTGTAAAGGAATTTTTGGAAATGCAATTTTTGTTTGTGAAAACACACTATTTTTTAAAAGTGTTCATAAAACTAGTTTTTCACGAACATGAAAATTGAGATATGACTTGTAAATACGTATATGTATATATCATGCATACATTATATATATATAATAAAGTATGAATGAGCTGTAAACATAAAATAAAAGATATCGTGACAAAGTTTAATGAAAAATCATTTATATGATATAAAACGTTAAATTTGTGTCAAATAAAAGATATCGTGACAAAGTTTAATGAAAAATCATTTATATGATATAAAACGTTAAATTTGTGTCGTGTTTTACATATTGAGCTTAAATATAAACATACAATATATATATGATATAAAACGTTAAATTTGTGTCGTGTTTTACATATTGAGCTTAAATATAAACATACAATATATGTAAGCAAACTACTATTATACCTAGGTGAATGCACACACATGAACTGGAATCTTTAACTCTTGATTGTCGTGTGTTGAATTACCTGTAAGGAGAAAAACCAAAACAACAAAGACTAGAAAACATATTAGCAATAAATTATTTGACAAATCATCATCAAAACTATAGGGCCAACACATATTAAGCGATTTCGTGAGCTATAACCCATGGTTTCTGTCACATTTTGTTAGTTTCGATTTGTTTCAACCCGGCGCAAAAAAACTTTGCTGAATCCAAAACCGACGATTTCATGAACTATAACCCGTGAATTTTGACTATTTTCTTCTGTTTCGGCCGGGTGTCGGAAATGTCAAAATCGATAATTTCGTAAGCTATTATCTAATCGATTTCTGACCATTTTGGTCTATTCGATGCCCTATTTAAAAATATCTTTGCAGAATTCAAAACTAATGATTTCGTGAGCTATAACATGTGATTATTGACCTATCTTGTGCGTTGGGGCCCCACAACAAATAATTAGGCTTTCGTGAGCTATAACATGTGATTATTGACCTATCTTGTGCGTTGGGGCCCCACAACAAATAATTAGGCAGAGTTAAAATATCGCGATTTCTTGGGTTATAACCCACGGTATTCCGACTGCTTTGGTCCGTTTCAACCATGGTGTGATTTCATGTATTATAACCTATCTTGTTCGAATTTCACGAGTTCGTGAGCTATAGGTAACGATTTTTCCTGAACTTCGACGGTTTCATCCGACGGCAAATGGCTCGGTGGAGTAAAATTTTAGGATTTCATCAGCTATAACCTACGAAATTTGTCCATTTATACCTCTTTTCAACCCGATGGAACTAATTAGGCGGAGTGCAGATTTTACAATTTCGTGAGCTATGACCCATGGTTTCTGACACATTTTTTCAGTTTCGTTTTGTTTTGACCCAGTACTAGAAATCCTTTCCGAATCTAAAACCGACGATTACATGAGCTGTAACCTATGAATTTTGACCATTTTCTTCAGTTTTGGCTGGGTGTTGGAAATGTCAAAATAGACGATTTCATGAGTTGTTGTCCATATGATTTCTGACCATTTTAGTCTGTTCAACGCCTCGTGTAAAAATATCTTTGCCGAATTCAAAATCAATTATTTCATGAGCTATAACACGTGATTATTGACCCACCTCGTGTGTTTGGGCCGAAAAATAAATAATTAGGCAGAGTTCAAATATCGTGATTTCATGGGTTATAACTCATAGTTTTCCGACAGCTTCAGTCCATTCCAACCCCGGCATGATTTCATGTGTTATAACCGATTGTTCGAATTTCACGAGTTCGTGAGCTATAGGCAACGATTTTTCCCCAACTTCGACGGTTTTGTCCAATGGCAAATGAGTCGGTGGAGTTTCACGATTTCGTGAGTTATAACCCACGAAATTGTCCATTTCCACCCCTTTTTGGCCAGGTGCAAACAATTAGGCGGAGCGCATATTTCACGATTTCGTGAGCTATAACCCATGGTTTCTGACACATTTTGTCAGTTTCGGTCCGTTTTGACTCGGCACTAGAAATCTTTGCCGAATTCAATACCGATGATTTCATGAGGTGTAACTCGTTAATTTTGACCATTTTCTTCTGTTTCGGCCAGGTGTCAGAAATGTCAAAACCAATGATTTTATGAGCTATTGTTTGTATGATTTCAGACCATTTTGGTCAGTTTGACACCCCGTGTCAAAATATCTTTGCCGAATTAAAAACCGACGATTTCACGATCTATAACAAGTGATTATTAACCCATCTCGTGCGTTTGGGGCCTGCAAAAAATAATTAGGCGGAGTTCAAATATCGAGATTTCATGGGTTATAGCCCACAGTTTTTCGACCGTTTCGATCTGCTTCAACCCGAGCATGATTTCATGGGTTATAACCCATTGTTCGGATTTCACAAGTTCGTGAGCTATAAGCAACGATTTTCTCCAACTTC